TCAAAAATGCTGCGGTCCATCCTTAATACTTCTAAAAACATCCAGGGAAACTTCTTTCCTGATTTTAGACTTTTTCATAGTCTAAGACATGTCCTCCTATGCCTCACCTGTATCACTCTCTACAAAGCAAATCTGAAACTCTCTTATTCATTGTGTTTTTGCCTGGTCTAAGAAAGAAGGATTCTAGCTACCATGTAAATTCTATATCCCGCCACCTAGCAATTAGCCACTATCACACATGAGGCTTGAAAAGAAGAATCATTTTTTATTTGAACTTGAAATTCCAGCTCTATTATATACAGATACATCCTGCCAAGTTCAGACTTTAAATAACTGCTTTAACCAAAAATTATTTATTTTTATAAAATTATTAAAATAGTAATTATGAAAATTTGTATAGTACAAAATTTTACAGTTTACAAAGCACATTTATACACAGTATATCCCTAGATCCTCCTAGAAATCTTGTAGATAGACAGAGTATAAATCATGCCTCCATTTGGCAGTTAAAGAAACTCATGATGAAAGGAGTATAGTGATTTGCCCTAAGTCATTCGCCTAGTAAGTGACAGATTGGGATTTTAAAACAGGACTTCTACCTCCAAAGTCAATATTCATTCCAAGAAAATAAATACTTTACCACTGACTGTCAAAGCAGTTTTCTATCTGCTTACTCTAAGGATTCTTCTACCCTTAAGCCTTTATGCCAGAAATGTTTAAATAAATCATCCTCTAAAGTCTCTTCAATACAAACCTGTGTTCATGAACATTTACTTGGCAAATCTGTCATACACAGTGGCTAGAAATGTATGTTTTCAGGCTTCTACCTAGAGCTGTACATACCTGCAGCAACTCAGAAATCTCAGGATACTTGGTATTTTTAATAGTTACATTTTAGACAAGAATCGTTATAAAATGTTCTAAATGTTTCCTTGCCCTCCCTTAAACAGAATGATACCAAACCATTTAACACTCTCCTAATTCAATACAACAATTCTGTAGGGCATCAATCCTATAGCCAGGCTCTGCATGTTAAGTGCTGATGATTCTAAGGCAAAACAAAACCAAACAAACATGAACCTCAGCTTCAAGGCACACACAGGCAAGTTGCGGGATGGTGAGGATAGAAAAGGGGGGAGGGTTGGTGGGGTGACACAACCACTTATAAGATGCAAAACCACATGTCTGAGGCAAGGGCAGCACATGGTCCAAAGAGTCTTCAGGCAAAATCTAAGGGACACACAGGCAGATGACAGAAAAGTGGGCCCAGAAGCAAGAATGGGATCGTAGGCAGTCTTTGCAATAATCACACCCACAATGTGGCACCTGAGGATACAAGTGAAGAAGGAGGAGGAGTGGATCATCCCATAAAGCCAGAGAAGGAAGAAGACACATTGTGGTGACAGATACGTCAAGTACAGGAGAGGCCAACCCCTAGAGAAAAGTAAAGGCAACCTTCCCAAAGCAAAGGGTGGGTGAAACAGAACACAGAGAGGACAATCAGAAAAGGAAATCAGCACATAGACACATGCATACAGAACCTTTCCTCACCTAGTCAACCTCATATTTTAAGTAAACAAAAACATTCCTCTCACTCTGATCACAAATCACAAAACAGAGTACTAGAGATTACTCTATTGAATCATGTAATTTTAGGGGTGTGGAAACTGGAGTCCAGAGAAGCACAGTCATCTGACCAAAGCCATACACATTAGTGACAGGGTAAGGACTGATTGCTGGTCCTTCGAGTCTAAACTCTGCCACACACACTGTCTACCTCCCAATATTCACATGAATTTGTATTGCTTCTACCACCTTTCAAATCTTACTTCAAATATATTATAATGATTACTAAAATGAATTTTGATGATAATAAAGTTTACCTCAAAATTATTTATGCTGAGGTAATATAATCTTGCAAATCTACTGGGAAATATCTTTAGAGCCATTTAGATCACTCTTCCTACAGTAGTTATCTTAGAAAATGGAATATAGATTAGCTGCCGTAACTCACTGCTGTGTTTTATTATTTTATCATTATAAATAACAGTCAAGGTTAAGGATAATAGTGATAATATAAAATCTACCCTTAATGCATATAATGAAGTCTATATGCTTAATAACTAATAGAGTAATTAACCACCGAAAATATACATGCTGTGAGGAAGAAATACTTTGGAAGTGGGCATCATTATTGTTGCTCATGAACAGTGGTGCTCATTCCCAAAGATACAAGACTCTAGAATCACTCTTATCCCTAACTAAAATATTCTTCCCAAAGTGATTTTTAAGAGACATCAACCTGTTTCCAGGAGGAGAAAAAACAATCACCTTTCTAAAATAAAAAAGCAGAGATGTCATCTAAACTCTCCTAATACTAAAAACTGAAATGAATGTCCCAGGCATCCTCAATAGTTAATATATAACAAATCTCCGCTGGACGTGTGATAATAAAAAAAAAAAAAGAAACAAAATCTCCAGAAAAGTTTCACTACTAACTTTTCAGATTCCATAAGTAAAATACAGTATATAGTTGCCTATATCCTAGATTTCACCTACAAGGTGAATCCATCTATTTAATTTCATTTCATCGGCACTGAAATTGAGTGTCAATAAGAGCACTGAGTTAACTACCAGCTCAGAGATTCCCAGGAACCAATGCATTGTTTATAATATTTCTCCTGGTCTCTCAAAACTAAGTACTAAAAGATGACATTCCCAGAGGCTTTACAGCAGTGCTGAAGAAATACAACAGGGACCCACAGGATCCTAAGCATGTGTTCACAATTGGCCTTGAATAAATCCCTGAGCAATGAATAATCCCACCACACTGTCCTGTCACAAGAGCCTCTGAATCCTAGAATACCTATTAAAATGTTTAAGTTCAGCTGGGCACAGTGGCTAGGTGCCCATAATCCCAGATACTTGGGAGGCTGAGGCGGGAGGATCGCTTGAGCCTATCCTATCTCCAAAAAAATTTTAAAAGGAAAAAAAGTAAACTGTTTAAAGTTCAATTTATTCCATTAAGAGAGCAGAATGCTAAGAATTGACCAAATGAAATATGCAAGTATTTTAAATATGTTTAACTGCCTCCCACTAACTTCTTTTAGAACACAACACTCCACAGTAAATCAGGAACTGCCTGGATTTCTCTAATATGTTATGTCCTAGGATCTTTGCCCTTCTTTGCAACTAAAACTTTACTTCCAATTAGATGTCCTTTTGTATTAATATCATTAGGAACTTTGTTGTATTTGTATTTTTTTGGAGAAAGCTTACAACTTCACATTTCTCCAAATGACAAAACCTCAAGCAGACAAAATGGCAATGTAGAGATAGATATTATACATTTTATTCCAACATCTGATCAACAGGAAGACTTGAAAGAGGCTATTTATTGTCTTCAAATTGCAGAGCTACTGGACTGGCACACACACCAGAAGAGCATCCTGTCATCTTTACAACCACCAAAACCATCCAAGCAGATACTTCTTACACTTCTGGTCTGTGGGTTATCCTGCTTGTATATGTACTAAAGGAAACATAACTGATATTTTAAGTTCTCTTGAGACTAAAAAGAAGGAAAACAAATTGAAATATGAAACTGGCTGACCACAAAGGATACCAGGGTGACTGATAGGCTCATAATTACAAAAAAAAAGGCAGCTGATGCATCATACAATGCATTTTACTGAGAGATACATCTTAAAATTATTGCTCAAAAGGATCAAGGAAAAGGCTCACAAATACAGCAAATATCAAGTTTAAAACACATGCTAACACTAGTATATTACTATTCTTAATTTTCTCCACACCCACAATCCAAGGAGTTCTAATACGCCTCCTGATTCATCCTTCCTCTCCCTTTAGCCCCTACACACTGAATGAAACTTATCACTTCTTTAGCGGCAGCTGGACCAGAAGATCATTAAGATTGCTTGAAATTACATCCAGGAAGTCAACTCTTCACTCCTAACCACCTCTCACACACCCTCCAACAAATGTTCCATGAAGTAAAAATGCCTAACAAATTCTTCTAGACTAAAATATCTATCATCAATTCATGGCCAAAACTACGGTCTGCAAGCAACTTTATATAGACAGTCATGCATCGCCTAATAATGATGATATGTTATGAGAAATGTATCTTTAGGGGATTCTGTCACTATGTGACTATCATAGAGTGTGTTTTCACAAACCTACATGGTATATAGCCTACTACATACCTAGGCTATATGCTACAGCCTATTGTTTCTAGGCTACAGACCGGAACGGCATGTTACTGTACTGAATATTGTAAGCCATCGTAACAAAATGGCAGGTATTTGTGTAGCTAAACATATCAAAATACAGAAAAGGAATTTTTCAGGCCATTATAATCTTCTTTTTTTTTTTTTTTTTTTTGGAGCCACAGTCTCACTTTGTTGCCCAGGCTAGAGTGAGTGCCATGGCATCAGCCTAGCTCACAGCAACCTCAAACTCCTGGGCTCAAGCAATCCTCCTGCCTCAGCCTCCCGAGTAGCTGGGACTACAGGCATGCACCACCATGCCCGGCTAATTTTTTCTATATATATTAGTTGGCCAATTAATTTCTTTCTATTTATAGTAGAGACAAGGTCTCACTCTTGCTCAGGTTGGTTTCGAACTCCTGAGCTCAAACGATCCGCCTGCAATGGCCTCCCAAAGAGCTAGGATTACAGGCGTGAGCCACCGCGCTCGGCCTGGCGATTATAATCTTATGGGACCACTATTGTATATGTGTTCCATTGTTGACCTAAACATCCTTACGTGACATATGACATACAAGTCACTGCTGGATTTATAGTTTCTAAGCAAAATTCTGGGCAGAGAGGAAGCCAACTAAAATTACATTCAAAAATTTCCTTATAGCTCACATAAATCTGAATCCACCAAATCAAAAATTGAAATCCTCTTTGATATGCACAGAATGCCCAAATTTCAAAACTCCAAAGCAAATGAATCTTAAATAAGTAACTTGCCAAGATTTGGGCTCTCCAAAGTGAAGATAATTGATGCTGTAGAGGTCCATGTCCTCAGTGTGCCACGCAAATGTGGTTTTCCACATTCCAAAATAGAGATATGGGGTATTTACACCCTCAATAGAAATACCACACTCTTCTTCGACCACATCCAAGACTGTATTTAGGCGTGCTATGTTCCATTCATCCACACCCTGGAACCAGGAGAGAAAGAAATCCAATGTTAAAAAGTATGAAAGATAACATTTACTAATCAAACCACTAGCTGTCAAAATTACTATGCTGTATTTTTTAATTCACTGAAAAATGAAAAATAATCATTACTCAAGAGCCACATAGATACACCCATCATTATTAATACAAGATTACTATGAGCATAGTAAGATTCTATATAACCATTTTGTATAAAATAATACCAGATAACTTCCTGATTCCAAACAGAAATGAAAGTTAAAGCCCCATTCCCCACTTAGCTGTTAGGAAAACTCACTGACTCACAGCAGATGATGTGGTATATGCTTTCCACTTTTGGTGCACCTTTTTCTTGAGGGAGGTTTCAGGTTTGGGTTGTCTTGTTTGTTTTTTCCACATTAATTTAAGGTCATATTCAACATCATACATAATATCAAGAAACCAGCAAAATACATAACAAAAACATAGCAAAATACATTTTCTATTATCCTTCTATCATCCCTATCCATTTCAATTCAGTATGTCATATATCATTTCCTAAAAATTTCACTCAAATCATTGGAAATTCTTTGAGCATTATTTTAAACCAGAGATCACTGTGCTTGTATGGATCTTTCAACTAAATATTAATCTCTTATGTTGATGTGAAATTGTAAACACATAATGCCTGCTAAAAATAATTATCCAAACTTTGGCCAGACTGCTGGAATAATGTAGTTTTATAACAGTAACCCAATATGGCAGGTGATGGCAGCAGAAAGAAAGCTAGAAAGTTAGAATCACCAGTATAAGAATTCAAATCATATAATTTTATGCTTTTATTAGAATTTACCAATCAACTATTAATTCACTGTACTCCACAACTGCTCAGAAATTTTTACAAACTATATATTTTTCCCATGTATTTTTCTCATAATCAAATTCTAAATATCAGAGACTAGGTACATTCCTATATAATCATGGGAAAACTGCAATCCCTTTATATCCATTCCAACCAAGGCAGGAATAAAGAGGGGAATTAAATTCGTTTTTATCTACTGAAATGACCGTCTCCAATAACTATGCCAATGGCATCTCCTTTATACAATAAAAGCTTTTAGGGTTTTTCTGTTTTCATTTTGGTCTTTAAACGATTCTCTAATTAGTGTGCTAATCTTACTTCTTTAATTTTTTGAGTTAGGAAAATTATTGATGAAGTAGTTAATGAAGCTCTGCCTCAGGTAACATAATTGAAAGTGCCAGAGGACATAATTTAATTCCCAAATTCCCCTTAGTAGCCATTCTATCTACAACTTAAGCCCCATACTGGGAAGTTTGCTATTTGGAAATTGGCCAGAGTAAGTATCCTTTTAGAGAAGATCCTAGGTTCCAACTTATGAGACCTCATAAAAGTTCAATCAAATTATGTAAAATATTTTATCTCACTCTATTTATAGTGATGCAATCTCTTAACTCTAGTCCAATCAGACTTCAGTCCAATCACTCTAATAATAGAGTCCTATTTAAAAGTCATTACTGAAGCAATGAATCTGAAGTAATAAATGAGCACCATATTATAGAAACCATTTTTAAACTGAATGAGCTTGCAAATCTAGACACAAACTATTCTTCTAAAATTCCTACATATGGGGACATCTAAGTTTTATTTCTGACTGATACTATCTTTCAGAAATAACCATGGTTGAATCCCTGGACATCCTAGACCCAAGAATCTAAGGGGAAGTGGGCAGAGAACAAAGAATGCTGGCCAAAAAGACTCAGGTTACAAGGTCAGCTTTGCCACTCACCAAGGAGAAAACCATGCAGGTTTCCTGAGCTTCAAGTCTTTCTTCTTGAAAACATGAGGATTCTAGCACCCTACCAGAGTTGCTCCTAGTACTAAATAAGCTAATGGACACAAACTTTGGGGAAATAAAACTTACTAATTCTTAAAACTGATGTAATCAATATCCCTGTTATTCTCTAGTAAATCTTACTCAAAAGCCTCCCCCAAACACCAAAGACGTGAGAAGGGATATTAAAATCTGTTTAAACTCACTACTAGTGGTAGGGCACAGTGGCTCACGCCTGGAATCCTAACACTCTGGGAGGCCGAGGCAGGAGGATCACTCACAAGGTCAGGAGTTTGAAACCAGCCTGAGCAAGAGGGAGACCCCATCTCTACTATATATAGAAAGAAATTAATTGGCCAACTAAAAATATATAGAAAAAATCAGCCAGGCATGGTGGCGCATGCCTGTAGTCCCAGCTACTCAGGAGGCTGAGGCAGAAGGATTGCTTAAGCCCAGGAGTTTGAGGTTACTGTGAGCGAGGCTGACACCACAGCACTCTAGTCTGGGCAAGAGAGTGAGACTTTGTCTCAAAAAAAAAACAAAAAAAACCTCACTACTGGCGTTATCCCCATTAATGGGCACGTTTGCAGCAGTTTCTTCGGGACAAGACTATGTTTCTATAATGCGGAAACTTAATTTCTTTTGCTAAAATAAAAAAGCACATGATTTCAATTAAAGAGTTATGCAAAGATTAAAAATAATTGGAATAAACAGAGGAAGATAAGTTTTACTCCTTCAAAATTCCTTGAGCAATTTTTGTTCTCTACTATTAACTTAAATTGGCTTGCTGCCTCCAAGAACAGGCTCCACACAGGCTCTTTTAAAGCTTACTAGGTTTGTCTCATATATTTAGAGAAGGAGTACACCTAGTTTAACCTTTAAGAAGTGTTATACTGGCCAGGCGCAGTGGCTCACACCTGTAGTCCTAGCACTCTGGGAGGCTGAGGCGGGTGGATTGCTCGAGGTCAGGAGTTCAAGACCAGCCTGAGCAAGAGCGAGACCCCGTCTCTACTATAAATAGAAAGAAATTAATTGGCCAACTAAAAATATATATACAAAAAATTAGCTGGGCGTGGTGGTGCATGCCTGTGGTCTCAGCTACTCGGGAGGCTGAGGCAAGAGGATTACTTGAGCCCAGGAGTTTGAGGTTGCTGTGAGTTAGGCTGATGCCATGGCACTCACTCTAGCCTGGGCAGCGAAGCGAGACTCTGTCTCAAAAAAAAAAAAAAAAAAGAAGTATTATACCATATATACTACTTCATTACACTACACACACATTTACACTATACATATTCAAATCATGCCTATAAATTAGTTAATGTTATACCCAAATGAACAAATGAAAAAACTAATACCCCTTGCTAGCAGTAATAGGAAGTAATGATTAACCTCAATCTATCTGACTCTTAGACCTTCCTTGGTAAGGAAGGTGTGATCTTTTTAAAATACAACATAACATCCTCTTCTCTCAGCATGAATGTTGACAAGATCCAAGACCCAAGGAGCTAAAATTGAGGAATGGTAAACACACAAACCTGCTGCATTCTTCCTACCAGGGGCACAACCATCCTACACAAACATTGGTTAAGCTTATAATGCAAGCTACTTCTCTTGAGGGCTGATGATAGAGCTGATTTAGTGTAAAAAGCAGTCTGAAGGACAAAAAAAAAAAAAAAAAAAAAACAAAAACGGCTACAAACAAGCCCCACAATAACAGATCAGAATTTGCCACGCCCATCAAAGCTTAAAGCCATCAAGTCTTAACAGAAAGAATGCACATCAGCCCACACTTGCAGACAAATTCTTCCTCCCAGATTCAGTCCTGATCTAACAAAGCTCCTTCACAAAGTGTTCAGCAAGTACTACAGCAATATTCATAACTCACCTGACCTCCAGCAGGCAGCTTTTTTCTCCCCTGCTCCCGTATCCCTTCACCCCAAATATGCAGTTGGCATTCTAGCCCTGTCCTGCTCCATTTGTCTATGTACCCTGCAACTGTTTTCGAAAATAACTCATCTTTGGACCATGATTTGTGCAACACAGGTATAACTGAGAACTTTATCAGGGACGATTCCTTTCAATCACTGTATCTTCCCCTTATCAGCAATCAAATAGCAGTGTAAAAGAACTCCTAAATCTTAAATACTTCAACCAAAGTCAGGAGCTGGCTGAAGAACAAGCCATCTTGGGCTTTCACTACAGTAACTGTGCTCAGTCACTACAGGACTGAGGGACAAGGCCGGGCGCAGTGGCTCTCGCCTGTAATCCTAGCACTTTAGGAGGTCGAGGTGGGAGCATTGCTTGAGCTCAGAAGTTCGAGACCAGCCTGAGCAAGAGCGAGAACCTGTCTCTACTATAAATAGAAAGAAATTAGCTGGACAACTAAAAATATACAGAAAAAATTAGCCGGGCATGGTGGTGCATGCCTGTAGTCCCAGCTACTCAGGAAGCTGAGACAGTACGATCATTCGCCCAGGAGCTTGAGGTTTCTGTGAGCTAGGCTGATGCCACGGCACTCTAGCCCAGGCAACAGAGTGAGACTCTGTCTCAAAAAAAAAAAACAACAAACAACAAACAAACAAATAAACCAGCCGGCGTGGTGGCTCACGCCTGTAATCCTAGCACTCTGGAGCCAAGGCAGGCGATTGCTTGAGGTTAGGAGTTCGAAACCAGCCTGAGCAGACCCGTATCTACCAAAATAGAAAGAAATTAATTGACCAACTAAAATATATATATAAAATTAGCTGGGCATGGTGGCACATGCCTGTAGTCCCAGCTACTCGGGAGGCTAAGGCAGTAGGATCGCTTGACCCCAGGAGATTGAGGTTGCTGTGAGCTAGGCTGACGCCACAGCACTCACTCTAACCTGGGCAACAAAGTGAGACTCTGTCTCAAAAAACAAAAAAAAAAAACCAATTGTACATGAAGATAGACTAACAAAATAAAACTAGGAAAATGAGTGAAGATATGATCAAACTTCACAAAACCACCCAATGTACCGATTAACACAGAATGGGCTTTTTAAAAAGGAGACAATTTGTAATCTAATGGAAATCATGCTTAGCAAACACATTCCTTGTGCACTCACCCAGAAAATAGTAAAATGGAATGGAGAATGCCAACCTCACAGAATGGCCCAATATCAGAATAGCAGCATGCTATATTGGAGC